GATGTTGTTGTCTTGCCTATATACTGGGTTTTTTGGAGCTTACAGTCCCCAAGAGGGCATTTGAAGGCATAGACGACGTTGGTCTCTTTTAAAGCATTCTGTTTTGTGTCTGGAGAGTTTCTCATGAGTAGGCTGGCCGTTTTTCTGGTTTTATAGTAAATCGTCAGTTGTATCCTCTGATTTTTGTCTGTAGGGATAACGTTTCTATTAACAATATCTTTCAGGACCCTTTCCTCCGTTTTATGAGCTGTGGAAAAGAAGTTCCTGTAAAATAGTCTAATAGGGGGTATAGGTGTTGTGTTAGTTGTCTCTTCAGAGGTTGCATGGCGTTTTACTTTCCTTTTTATGATGTCTTCGACGAAACCATTGGAGAAGCCGTTGTTGACTAGGACCTTACCCTACAGAGTTCTTCGTCGACTTGCTTCCATTCTGAGCTGTGGCTGAGAGCACGGTCGACGTATGCGTTAACAACACTCCTCTTGTACCTATCTGGGCAGTCGCTTTTGGCATTTAGGCACATTCCTATGTTCGTTTCCTTAGTGTAGACTGCAGTGTGGAAACCTCCGCTCTTTTCCATGACTGTTACATCTAGAAAGGGCAGCTTCCCATCCTTTTCCATCTCGTAAGTGAAACGCAGCACGGAACTCCGCTCAAATGCCTCCTTCAGCTCCTGCAGATATCTGACATCAGGTACCTGTGTAAAAATGTCGTCAACATACCTGCAGTATATGGCCGGTTTTAAGTTCATGTCGACTAAGACTTTTTGCTCGATGGTACCCATGTAGAAGTTTGCAAACAGGACACCTAGGGGAGAACCCATGGCGACCCCATCTACTTGCTTATACATGTGCCCCTCCGGGCTCAAGAAGGGTGCCTCTTTAGTACAAGCTTGAAGTAGTTTCCTTAGGATATTTTCTGGTATGTCAAGAGGAGTACAGGCTATTAGACTATTTTACAGGAACTTCTTACATATATATATATATATATATATATATATATATATATATATATATATATATATATATATATATATATATATATATATATATATATATATATATATATATATATATATATATATATATATATATATATATATATATATATATATATAATTATTTGGAACACAGATTGACTAATTAAGGGAAAATCTCTCTAGACATTTCGTTACAAACATGTACTGAACAATAAGCCTATTTAACGAGCACATGATGTAGTCAACTAAACTCTTTGTAACTCTGAGGTAACGATATAAGCAGAAGCTTGCAATCAAAATTAATACACAAAGTACAGCATATAATTCAACACCATATGTACTCATATGTAAATAGTGTACATATACTGACGAGATACAGTGTAATTGGAACCAGCGAGTAAGGTGAGAGGTTTACCTTGAACGTGTCTAAATGTAGACCCATTGTAAGAGCTTATAAAATTAATCCTTGAGCTAGGTGACACACCTGTGGCCCTTGTTTGTAAACTAATATGGTTGGAGGGGGTGAACAGGTATACTGCTGAAGTATACTCTAATACTGCTGAAGCTGTATACTTGGCTCAGGGTGTGGGAGGCCAGGGGTGGTCTTGGTCCTGATGCTAAGGGATTAATGCCTTGGTTTGGTTCTCAGTCGTCTCCTTAGTCGGTAACCTAACATACGAAGATCACCTGGTTTTGTTATGACTGTTTTTGCCACACACACACACACACACACACATACGAGGGGGGCCTCGTAGCCTGGTGGATAGCGCGCAGGACTCGTAATTCTGTGGCGCAGGTTCGATTCCTGCACGAGGCAGAAACATATGGGCAAAGTTTCTTTCACCCTGAATGCCCCTGTTACCTAGCAGTAAATAGGTACCTGGGAGTTAGTCAGCTGTCACGGGCTGCTTCCTGGTGTATGTGTGTGTGTGGTGTGAAAAAAAGTAGTTAGTAAACAGTTGATTGACAGTTGAGAGGTGGGCCGAAAGAGCAAAGCTCAACCCCCGTAAACACAACTAGGTGAATACAGACACTCACACACACACACAGGCAACAGAGGAACTGCCAGATATTTGGAAAGTAGCTAACGTAGTCCCGATATACAAGAAAGGGGATAGACAGGAGGCACTGAACTACAGGCCAGTGTCCCTAACCTGCATACCATGCAAGCTGATGGAGAAGATTGTGCGAAGAAAGCTAGTGGAACATCTGGAGCGAAAGAACTTTGTAACACAGCATCAACATGGGTTCAGGGATGGCAGGTCCTGCCTCACAGGGTTACTTGAATTCTACGACCAGGCAACAAAAATCAGGCAAGAAAGAGAAGGGTGGGCTGACTGCATATTTTTGGATTGCTAGAAAGCTTTTGATACAGTACCACACAAGAGGCTAGTGAAAAAGCTGGAGATGCAGGCCGGTGTGAGAGGGAAGGTACTCCATTAGATAAAGGAGTACCTAAGCAACAGGAAACAACGAGTCACTGTGAGGGGTGAGGTCTCAGATTGGCAAGACGTTACAAGTGGAGTCCCGCAGGGGTCAATCCTTGGACCTATACTGTTTCTGATATATGTAAATTATCTCCCAGAGGGTACAGAATCGTTTCTCTCAATGTTAGCTGATGATGCAAAAATTATGAGGAGGCTTGAAACAGAGGATGATAGTAGGTCACAAGATGACCTAGACAGACTGAGTGAATCGTCCAACAAATGGCTGTTGAAGTTCAACCCGAGTAAATGCAAAGTAATGAAACTAGGCAGTGGAAACAGGAGGCCAGACACAGGATACAGAATAGCAGATGAAGTACTTAATGAAACAGACAGAGAGAAAGATCTAGGAGTTGATATCACACCAAACCTGTCTCCTGAAGCCCACATAAAAAGAATAACGTCTGCGGCATATGCGAGGCTGGCTAACATCAGAACAGCGTTCAGGAACCTGTGTAAGGAATCATTCAGAATCTTGTACACCACATATGTAAGACCAATCCTGGAGTATGCGGCCCCAGCATGGAGCCCGTACCTTGTCAAGCACAAGACGAAGCTGGAAAAAGTCCAAAGGTATGCCACTAGACTAGTCCCAGAACTAAGAGACATGAATTACGAGGAAAGGCTGCGGGAAATGCACCTCACGACACTGGAGGACAGAGGAGTAAGAGGGAAACATGATCACTACCTCCAAAATTCTCAGAAGAATTGTCAGGGTAGATAAGGATAAACTGTTTAACACGATTGGTACGCGAACAAGGGGACACAGGTGGAGACTGAGTACCCGAATGAGCCACAGGGACGTTAGAAAGAACTTTTTCAGTGTCAGTCGAGTAGTTAACAGGTGGAATGCACTAGGAAGTGATGTGGTGGAGGCTGACTCCATACACAGTTTCAAGTGTAGATATGATAGAGCCCAGAAGGCTCAGGAACCTGTACACCAGTTGATTGACAGTTGAGAGGCGGGACCAGAGTGCCAGAGCTCAACTCCCGCAAGCACAACTAGGTGATTACACACATTCGCAGAAAGCAGCCCGTAGTAGTTATCTAACTCCCAGGTACCTATTTATCTGTTAGGTGAACAGATGCATCAGGGTGAAATAAACTCTGCCCATTTGTTTCCGCCTCCGTTGGGAATCGAACCCGGGCCATTCGGACTACTACCCCCGAGCACCATCCACTCAGCCGCGAGGTCCCAAACTTTACCTGTTGTGTGTGTGTGTGTGTGTGTGTGTGTGTGTGTGTGTGTGTCCGTAATCGTGCGCGTAGGAGAGGCAAAAGCCTTGGAAAACCCCACCAGACAAGGAGAGCTGCATACGGGGTAGCGTACTAAGGGGAAGGAGTGTTGACGCTGGCTGAAAAACAGGTGGTGGTTCGAGGCGAAAACCATGAGGAGATGATGTGGGTGACGTCTTGGAGATTAAAGGTTAGGGTTCTTTAAGGGTAGTGGTAGAGGTGGGGGGATTCTCGAAGAAGAGAATTGGGTGTTCTTGGAGTGAATACATGGCAGTTATAGAAGTGTAGAGATAGCATTTTTTTGGAGAAATCAGGTGGGGTGTGATTAATTTTACCGAAGCGTCATAGAAGTTTAAAAATTCAGTTTGGTTTTGCAACATATGGGACAGGTGTTGTGTGATGTGGGAGAGGGAGAAAACTGGCTGGGAGAGGTGTTGGGGGGGGGGGGGGAAAGGTGAAGTGTGAGAGGGGGAGGAGCGGGTAGATGTCCCTGGATATCGTGATGAACCCGGCTATACCTGCTTCACCTCTCTGCTTCCTGCTTTTCAGCAACAGCTGTTTCTTGCAATGGCTCCTGTGTGGCGTTGTTGCTAGTGCAACATTCTGAACATGAAACAAAAACAAAGTTCAGGAGTCAGTGGTAGATACTGAAGTTCATCTTGCTTTACTGAGTTCACGAGTCTGTTATCATTTTATTACATGTTCTCCACCTGTGTTCAACGGTGAACAATTGTTGTTTAGGCTGTTCTCTTGCTGTTCATATTATTTTTTTAATATTTCCTTTTAGTGTTGTACCTTTGTTCACCTCATTGTTCAGATCTGTTAATGAGGTCTGATGCTAACCACATCAGCTTGTCTTAATCACACCGTACCGTTTACGTGATGAGTCTTGACGTTGACAGGTATTTGAAGCCTCCACACCTGTAGTCTTGTCTTGCCAGGTGTGGGTGAGCCTTCTACACCTGTGGTCTTGTCTTGTCAGGTGTGTGAGGCTTCCACACCTGTGGTCTTGTCTTGCCAGGTGTGTGTGAGGCTTCTACACCTGTGGTCTTGTCTTGCCAGGTGTGTGTGAGGCTTCCACACCTGTGGTCTTGTCTTGCCAGGTTTTTGTGAGGCTTCCACACCTGTGGTCTTGTCTTGTCAGGTGTGCGAGCCTTCTACACCTGTGGTCTTGTCTTGTCAGGTGTGTGTGAGGCTTCCACACCTGTGGTCTTGTCTTGCCAGGTGTATGAGGCTTCCACACCTGAATGTCTGCATCACAGCTGTTTTATGACCTAGTTCCATCCCAGCAACTTTCTCCGTCGCTATATTATACTCTCACTTTCACCGTTGATTTCTAAGTCACTCTCACTTTCACCGTATATTTCTAAGTCACTCTCACTTTCACCGTTGATTTCTAAGTCACTCTCACTTTCACCGTATATTTCTAAGTCACTCTCACTTCCACCGTATATTTCTAAGTTACTCTCACTTTCACTGTCGATTTCTAAGTCACTCTCACTTTCACTGTCGATTTCTAAGTCAATCTCACTTCCACCGTCGATTTCTAAGTCACTCTCACTTTCACTGTCGATTTCTAAGTCACTCTCACTTCCACCGTCGATTTCTAAGTCACTCTCACTTTCACTGTCGATTTCTAAGTCACTCTCACTTTCACTGTCGATTTCTAAGTCACTCTCACTTCCACCGTCGATTTCTAAGTCACTCTCACTTTCATTGTCGATTTCTAAGTCACTCTCAATTTCACTGTCGATTTCTAAGTCACTCTCACTTTCACCGTATATTTCTAAGTCACTCTCACTTTCACTGTCGATTTATCTAACACACTCACCAGCCTCGTCCTTTCCTAACTCTCTCTCTCCTCATTTATCAAGTTTCCTCCTATCTCTGTCATTAGCCAACCTTGTTGCGTCTCGTTCCTCACTCTTCTCTGGCTTCCAGCTCGTTGTTCTTAAGGTTTCACTTCTAATGGCATTCGCTGTTCACTGTAATTTCTGGCTCATTATCCTTGAACCCGACGGTTTTCTTTATTGTGTTCCATCCCTTGGGTCTTTGTCTTGTTGTATGAATTGGGTTTTTGTCTTGTTCTGTTCCTTGGGTCTTTGTCTTGTTCTATTCCTTGTGTTTTTGTCTTGTTCTATTCCTTGTGTCTTTGTCTTGTTCTATTCCTTGTGTCTTTGTCTTGTTCTATTCATTGTGTCTTTGTCTTGTTCCATCCCTTGTGTCTTTGTCTTGTTCTATTCCTTGTGTCTTTGTCTTGTTCTATTCCTTGTGTCTTTGTTTTGTTCCATCCCTTGTGTCTTTGTCTTGTTCTGTTCCTTGTGTCTTTGTCTTGTACCATCCCTTGTGTCTTTGTCTTGTTCTGTTCCTTGTGTCTTTGTCTTGTTCTGTTCCTTGTGTCTTTGTCTTGTTCCATCCCTTGTGTCTTTGTTTTGTTCCATCCCTTGTGTCTTTGTCTTGTTCTATTCCTTGTGTCTTTGTCTTGTTCTATTCCTTGTGTCTTTGTTTTGTTCTATTCCTTGTGTCTTTGTCTTGTTCCATCCCTTGTGTCTTTGTCTTGTTCTATTCCTTGTGTCTTTGTCTTGTTCTATTCCTTGTGTCTTTGTTTTGTTCTATTTCTTGTGTCTTTGTCTTGTTCTATTCCTTGCGTCTTTGTCCTGTTCTATTCCTTGTGTCTTTGTTTTGTTCCATCCCTTGTGTCTTTGTCTTGTTCCATCCCCTTGTGTCTTTGTTTTGTTCCATCCCTTGTGTCTTTGTCTTGTTCCATCCCTTGTGTCTTTGTCTTGTTCCATCCCCTTGTGTCTTTGTTTTGTTCCATCCCTTGTGTCTTTGTCTTGTTCCATCCCCTTGTGTCTTTGTTTTGTTCCATCCCTTGTGTCTTTGTCTTGTTCCATCCCTTGTGTCTTTGTCTTGTTCCATCCCTTGTGTCTTTGTCTTGTTCTGTTCCTTGTGTCTTTGTCTTGTTCTGTTCCTTGTGTCTTTGTCTTGTTCTGTTCCTTGTGTCTTTGTCTTGTTCCATCCCCTTGTGTCTTTGTCTTGTTCTGTTCCTTGTGTCTTTGTCTTGTTCTGTTCCTTGTGTCTTTGTCTTGTACCATCCATTGCGTTCAGGGAATTATGTCTGTGTCTGAGGGTCAGTTAATCTGTGATAGCACAAGAGCTTGAACAGCTTCTCAGATTTAAATTAAAATACTATATTTAGCTTATCTTTAAGACAGGTCAGACTTTGGTGCATTTCGAGCACAATTGCAGTGTACTAATGGCCAATTGATTGTTTGCTGGATTTAGCGGTAACTATTGTTAAAATTTTACTGAAATGTTGTTCAGAATTGATCAGTAATGTGCTGTAAAGTCGACTGAGATCATTTTCAGATTCATGGCTGTTCAGAGATTGATTTTGCCAGATAGTTAAATATTTTTACAATGTATATTAGTTAATATAGGTTTATTTTGTATGCAAATGAAATGCTTCAGGTGATTGGAGATTATTTAGATCGCAGACGCTTTCTTGTGTAGGTAGAGGCCAGAGAGGTTTGTCCAGTCAGGTTTAGAGAGCTTCGTCAAGTCAGATGTAGACAGAGCTTCGGCAAGTCAGGTGTAGACAGAACTCCGTCAAGTCAGGTGTAGACACGAAGCCTTAAGTCAGTGTCTCACATATTCTCTCACTTATTCTCCCGTCACCCGTCACCCGACACCCGTCTCCCGTCACCCGACACCCGTCATCCGACACCCGTCACCTGTCACCCGACACCTTCCAGCTCTTTACATTCTCCTAATCTTCCTCGTCATCCAAACCCGACCGCCAAACCCGACCCCACCAAACCCGACCCCACAAACCCGACCCCACCAACCGGACCCCACCAAACCCGACCCCACCAAACCCGCCCCCACCAACCCGACCCCACCAGACCCCTTCAACCCGTCTCCAACTTGCGGTACACACAGGCTCCAGGTGTCGCCAGAGGATTCCACTTTCCACCCATTTTTTGAACAAAAAAATGTAACTCTCTGAGAAGGCTAAGAATAAACGAAATAAAAAAAATTAGATCGTTCAGTTGCAGCAGCTGGCAACCCCTCCCCCTCCCCCTAATAAGGTACTAATGTATTATGTACATTTATTATGTACAGTATAATAAATGTACATAAATGTACATGTATTATGTATTATTAGTATTATCAGCTCCTTCATCCTATACCACAGCAAGTATTACTAACAGGGGCGCCTGACAGCTGGGTGGACAGCGCTTCGGATTCGTAGTCCTGAGGTTCCGGGTTCGATCCCCGGTGGAGGCGGAGACAAATGGGCAAAATGTTTCTTTCACCTTGATGCCCCCTGTTACCTAGCAGTAAAATAGGTACCTGGGAGTTAGACAGCTGCTACGGTCTGCTTCCTGGGGTGTAACAAAAATAAGGCCTGGTCAAGGACCGGGCCGCGGGGACGCTAAGCCCGAAAGTTATCTCGCTGGTTATCTCTCTCAAGATAACCTCAAGATAACACCCTCCCCTACCACAGCAAGTATCAATAATGCACCCCCCCCCCCCCCCCCCCCCCCCCCCCCCCCCCCCCACTGCACAAGATGAGTAGCGTCGCTTCTCATTTTCGCAAAAAAAAAAAAATGTTCGGCCCTCATAGAGGAAGAGCATTAGACAGCATCATTCATCCTGTGAGTGAACATACTTCCATAGCAGCATGTTCAACAGCCCTCAGTCGGCTGAACACCTGAGAGGTTGCATATCTATCGCACCCAGACGCAGCTGGATTGTTCATCCTGTCTCTTGAACCCAGCTTCAACTGGGTCTTAACTGTCTCGAGTGAACAGCCTGCCAAACAAGGGAATAACTTCTTGCGCCCTTCGAGTTGGCTTCCTCTTGCAGCAGTGGGGTGAGGGAACCATGTAAGAACAATAACAATTGTTTTCCCAACTCAATGTGGATTGTAGAACACAGTTTTGTGACGTCTCTCAGAGGCGGACAGTCAGAGGGGTCCAGTCGGGATCCTTCTCTCATGTTATTGATTCTGAAACTCCGCTGATCTACTGTTGTTGCCATCCTGAATCACCATGGGGACTTGTGTTCCAAATCACCATGGGGACTTCTGTCCCAAATCACCATGGGGACTTCTGTCCCAAATCACCATGGGGACTTGTGTTCCAAACCGCCATGGGGACTTGTGTCCCAAAGTACCATGGGGGCTTGTATCCCAAACCAACATGGGGGACTTGTGTTCTAAACCACCATGGGGACTTGTGTTCCAAATCACCATGGGGACTTGTGTTCCAAATCACCATGGGGACTTGTGTTCCAAACCACCATGGGGACTTGTGTTCCAAATCTCCATGGGGACTTGTGTTCCAAATCACCATGGGGACTTGTGTTCCAAATCACCATGGGGACTTGTGTTCTAAACCACCATGGGGACTTGTGTTCCAAATCACCATGGGGACTTGTGTTCCAAATCACCATGGGGACTTGTGTTCCAAATCACCATGGGGACTTGTGTTCCAAACGAATTCTTGCAACTTAGGATTCCCTCCAATGGTCTCCTCCATCATCCAAAGTGACTGATGTGTGAGCTGCGTGTGGACTGCACCTTCGAATGGCTTCAGTGACTTACTCTTCTATCTGGAAATTTATTTCTCCACAAAGTTCTCTTCACTTGTCTACGTTGTCTCTGCCATCCATGCAGCTCCCTGTGTCTTTATTAATGGTGCTACTAATGTTTCTGGTCCTGTCACACCTCTGTTTATTTCTCCTTCTTTTGGTCCATGGAGTTAAAAGTGCTGATACATGGTTTAGGAGAATTCTTGAACATGTTGTTTTTATCAGGTTCATGTGAGTGAATCCCCCCTCACACTCTTCAGTACTAATAGGAATAACTTGTAAACAGCTCAGTAATAGGTATAAATCTTGGGGTACATGAGGCGTTTAGTATCCTCCCAACCCTCCCAGAGCGGACAGCACGCTGGACTTGTGATCCTTTGGTCCTGGGTTCGATCCCAGGCGCAGGCGAGAAACAATAGGAATAGTTTCTTTCACCCTATACCCCTGTTACCTAGCAATAAAATAGGTACCTGGGTGTTAGTCAGCTGTCACGGGCTGCTTCCTGGGGGTGGAGGCCTGGTCGAGGACCGGGCCGCGGGGACACTAAAAGCCCCGAAATCATCTCAAGATAACCCTCCTATTCCTTTTCCTCGTGCTCCTCCTCGCCCACCAGAGCCTCCCGACCATTCACCCATGTCTTGGACAAAAACTGGTTCCCACACGATGACAGACCACAGGTAGCAGGGTATAAAGAGGAGCGTCGTCATAGCGACTGTTTTCTCCTTTACAAAGCGTGATTTACACCCCAAAAGGAGCTGGTTAAACTCCAAACCACTTTTAAACCACTTTTGGTTTCAAATTATATGGAACTTGAATATGCTTCGCGTGACTGGAGTGTTAATGGATGTGTATGTTTGTGTGTGCTCACCTATTTGTGCCTGCATGATGGAGCATCAGCTCTTGGACCCCGCCGAGAATTTTTTTCTCATAATTTTTGCACCAGCAGCAAACATTGATAGGAATGAATCTATACCCTCTGTAAGACCGTCTACATATATTTGAAACAGGATGGGTCCAAGTACAGAGCCCTGTGGGACTCTTGTAGCTTAGATACTCTCTTATCCACTCCCTTAAACATTTGGAAAATATGCTGAACAGGTACAGTATATGATTCTGAACTTACACCATGCACATTTAAGAATGACTATGAGGGAACAGTTACGAACACAAAC